AATGTGCAATACATGAGAGATTATAAATATATCATGTATTGCAAATGTGCAATATATCGGAAAATATGTATTTGAAGGCTACAAAACGTGCATTTGAAGGCTAAAAACACGCACTATAAGGAATAAAAAGAGTTCAATGGAATGTAAAGTATTTTTTTTTCTTTTTTATACACTAGTACTAGTAAGACACACATGTACTTGTAGGCACGAAAATGAACACTTGAAGACATAAAGAGGACCACTAGAAGGCAAGGGAAAAAAGACACTAAAAGAAAAAATTTGAAGAAAATTAATTGTGCACTCATAGAAAGTAAATTAATTGTGCACTGGATGGTGTGCATTTTCTAACATGGATGGTGTATATTTGTATAACTATTGGTGCGGCCGCACCGACCGCACGGGAAAGGGCTGCCGCACCTGAACTTGGCACCAACGGGAATCTACAAATACACCAGTGTAAGGCTAATAATGCACCAAATACACAAATAAAACACACAACAATGTGATTTGCCATATTCGGTACCCAATGACGACTTTAGCCTTGCAGTTCGCGTAGTGAGAAAATGTGTGCGAAAATATTAGAGAAGCCTTGATGAATGTGATTCATTAGATTTACCTAATCTAATGGCCTGCAATTGACCGCACCGCCGCACCTAAGTGCACTGCCGCACGTGAACTCCCATATATATATATATATATATATATATATATATATATATATATATATATATATATATATATATATAATTGGGTTCTGTTGCCGTTGGCAGCGGTTGTGGAGTTAATCTGAACCATTGATCTTGCTTAAATCAAGGTCCAGCATTACTAAAATTTTAAAAAAATGCGGTGGTAATTTGGTAATTTTTGCATCTAAGTCAAATTTAAGGTGCGTGAGTTTTGTGCTTAAGGTGCGTGAGATTTGTGCTTAAGGTGCGTGAGTTTTGTGCTTAATGTGTGTAGTTGTTAAAACTTAAAGTGCATGAATTTTGTGCTTAAGGTGCGTTGGTTTTGTGCTTAATGTGCGTGAGTTTGTGGTTAATGTGCGTGTGTTTTGTGCTTATGTGAGTAGTTGGTAAACTTTAAAGTGCGTGAGTTTTTTGCTTAAGGTGTGTGACATTTGTACTTAAGGTGCGTGAGTTTTCTGCTTAATGTGCGTGAGTTTGTGCTTAATGTGAGCCATTTTAAAATCTTATGTGCGTGAGTCTTGTGCTTAATTAATGTGCTTTCTTTTGTGCTTAATGTGCAAGGTTTATGTACTTAAGGTGAGTGATTTGTGTTCTTAAGGTGCTTTGTTTGTGTGCTTAAGGTGCATAGTGATTTGTGTACTTAAGGTGCGCCATTTTAATGCTTAAGGTGCATCCAACCGCACAACCGCACGGGAAACAATTCACGCACCTGAACCCTTCCCTATATATACAAAGAACTCAAATCCACTTTGACCTAACCCAAATCGGAAGTGGACCCCACCAATATTTATTCCACAAAATAGTCACTTAAAAAGTCATTTCTACTATTTTATGCTATTTTTTCCAACAAATACTCCTTTTTTTCCTTTTAAATTTCAACTTGCAAAAAAGTAAAGGTTTAAATTACTTAGGATATGTTTGGTTCATGGGTTTACGCACTAGGAATGAGAATCAAAATCACAATTAGGACATGTTTGGCTCATGGGTTTACACACTATGAATGAGAATCAAAATTATAGTTAGTGCTTGGTTGACAACATTTTAAAGCACAACTATGGATTTTGATTACTCCTTCGATTAAAAATTTCATTCCCTAATTAAAAAGGGGTATCATTCCATCTTATTGATAATCTAATTTTTAAGTTTGGATTAGTACTTTTAGATTTTTGTTTTGATTTTTTTTTTGTTCATATTGATGTTTTGGATGTTATTATATTATGATCAATTGCATTAATTTTTTGCTTTTTGTATTTTTAAAACATTTATTCCCATTATAGGCTCATACTCAACCAAAATTAATATTGGTAATCGTTCCAATTTCATCCTATTACCAAACATGCAAAATATTTTCACCAAAACGCATTACCATTACCAAGTATTTGATTCTGATTCCCACGTGCAAACCAAACACAACTTTATGGGTTGTTTGGTAGACATGAATTGCATTGCAATTTCAACACAATTCTTTGGTCACTCCAATTACAATGTTTGGTTGGATAGAATTGCATTCTCTCCTTTTGTTGAATTGCAATTCAATGGATGTGGGAAAGGGCCGGAGAAAATAGATGAATGACACTACTATCCTTGGTTATTATTACTACTATTATTACACAAGGGTATTTTAGTCTTTATACCATTTCTTTCCTTCTCAATTCCAATAATTCTATTTCTCCCTCCCAAACAACGTAATTTGAATTCTACTTTATTCCACTTTATTCTTTTCCACCGAATTACAAATCCTTTCCCCCATAATTCTTTCATTCCAACCAAACGCCATGTTAGTGTTTGGTTGACAACTTTTTAAAACACAACTATGAAATTTGATTGCTCCTTCAATTAAAAATCACATTCCCTAATTAAAAAGGTATAACTCCATCTTATTAGTAATATGATTTTTAAATTTGGATTAGTGTTTTTTTTTTTATAGGGTCAAAGTACCTATAAAGTCCCTATACTATAGTGTTTTGTTCAATTTAGTCATTATACCTTTATTCTGTTCAATTTAGTTCCCCTACTTTAAAAATGGGTGAAACTAAGGACAATTGTCCAAATCTCGTTAGAAACATGATTGTAATAATTATTTATTTTGGACATACTAATTTAATAGATTGGTGGTAAAAATAATTAATTTTAAATATTTATAAAGCAATATATGAGTAGGAATATAAATATCGTCAGCACCACGTAACCTAAGTTAACGGTAATATTAACACCGTTAACTATTTTCCTTAATTGTATCACTTTTTAAAGTACAGGGACTCAATTGAATAAAAAAACGTATAAGGACTAAATTTTTAAATATGCTATAGTATAGGGATCTCGTAGGTACTTTGACCTCATATTAGTGCGTTGTATGTTGTTATATTATGATCAATTGGAAGGCTCTCACTGAGGGCTTCAAATTCACCAAAAAAAAAAATATTATGATCAATTGCCTTGATTTTTGAATTTTTTTTTTAAACCTTTATTCTTATTATAGGGTCATCAATATTGGTAATCATTCCAATTCCACCATACTACCAACACATGCAAAATATTTTCACCAAAGTCCAACGAGTCAATACCGCATTTACTAAAATTCAAACTCATTATCTCTCATTTGGAAAAGTCATTTTATGCAATTTGACCACAAAGATGTTTGGCAAAAAGTCACTACTTTAATTGCTCTAATTTGTATTCCTCCCTCAAAATGACCCTAAAAGAGAATAACTTCTTTCCATATACTTGTCATCATTATTTGCCTTTTATTTTCTTTTTCCAATTTTTCGTTACACATTCCACATTAATCAGCTAGTATACAGTGCGACTACTATAAGTACCTAAAGTTAGGGGTAAAAAAAGCAAACATTTGATGCCGAAAATTATAATTGTCATGTTTTTATATGTGAAAAAAAAAAAAAAAAAAAAAAAAAAAACCTTGATTAATCCCATCATTACTTTTCGCTACATTTAACTTTTGTCATGTTTACATTCTTAAACATGTTTTACACAAGTGTATTAGTACTTGTATAAATTATTTTACACTAAACTTTTATTTACAAAAAGTCCTGTAGTTGTTATCCAAAAATACACTCTAAGTAAAGACTGTCTTAATAACTCATATCAAAATTAATCATCTGATGGTAGCAATGAGTACAAAAAAATAAATTTATAAAGTTGTATGTTATGTTTTATATAAGAGATAGTACAATTTACAAAGTACAATGTACAATATTAGATAGCACACAGCGTTATAACTCCCAACATTGTAAAGCTTTTCTAAGATTTTTTATACAAAAGATTTGGATACAAAAACACAGCAGTAGTTTTCCATGTACTAGTTTCTTCTGAATTTTCTATGTACTAAACAGAGCCATCAGTATAGCTATCACCAGTTGCCAAAAGCGCGTAAAGAAACAGTTTGCTCTTATAATCAGTTTTGAGAGGTAATTAGAAAAGCTTTTTTCCATTTTTTGTTGGAATGATTAAGGAAATTTTGACTTGGTATATATATATATATATAGAGGATCATATGAGAACACTTGCTTAGGTGTGAACGTGAGAACAAATCGTGTGTATCCATCTAATATTTTTTAATGGTCTAGATTAGATTAAGTGTGTGCAAACGCGATTAAGTGTGTTTGCACACATTTAATTCGCGTTCGCACACACTTAATCTAATCTAGAGCACTAAAAAATATTAGATGAATGTACACGATTTGTTTTCACGTTCTCACCTAAGCAAGTGTTCTCATTGAAACCCTACTATATATATATATATATATATATATATATATATATATATATATAGTTGGGTGGGGAAATGGGGGGGGGGGGGGGGGGTTGTTTCAAAATTCAAATAGTGAGAACTAAGAAGAGACAAGGGCCCCTAAAGAGTGGAAATAAAAAATAACATAAGAATAAAATTTGAAAATGAGTTTTTTTTTTCTTCTTTAAATATACTTAAAGAGTATATTGGTAATCACATCCTGTAAAAATATATAGTGGATGCATGTGCATGGTAAGAATAATGAAAAAGATAACAGAAGTTATAACGGTATGAATATTTTTGTTCAAAAAATTATATAGTACAACTCTAAAAGCACAATGTACAAAATTATTAGCACTAAAAATATGGACATAAAATAAAGATATAACTTTGATACTAGTACAGAATGCAATATATATATATATATATATATATATATATATATATATATATATATATATATATATATATATATATATATATTTATTTATTTATTTATTTATTTAACTTTATATTAATTAAAATAAATGTATAAATTAGGAAGATGTTCATAATGAAATTAGTCCCATAATTAGTTTTTTCTTTCCATGATAGGGAATGGTTATTGTGCTGTGAAGGAGTGAAGGTTCTTTTGTCTTATTTGACCATCTTCCCTCTATAAAAGGCTCACAACACCCCTCTCAAAAAGACCCCTTATCCTCTCCATCCTTGTATATTCAACCTTTCTTTTCCCTTCTTCCAAGAATACTGTTTAAGGCTACTGTCAAGTTAGATTAATGGAGGAAATCACATCTTTATGGAGCTATCAAGAGGTACTGCATTTTACTGCTCATATTCTTCAAATTCTTCTTCTCCTTTTAGTTTATCCATCTGTGTTATAAACTCCCATCACTTGACTGATTCTTGAATGCTTGGTTTTGGTAATTTGGCAGTCTATGGATGAGTTGAGGACGAAGCTTCTGTATGCAACTCTTGAACTGCAGAGGTTGAAGGTTGAATCCAGGGAGGAGATGAGGAAGAACAAAGAGTATGTGAAGCAACTGGTTCAGCTTGTGAACACTGCTTGCAGGGAAAGAGATGAAGCAAGAAACCAGATTCAGAAAGTTCTCAGCAGCTTTTCTCAGGTGGTTCAAACTGATCAGAGCCCTCTTGTGAAGCCTGCAAGAGCAAATTCGGGATTGACAGAATCGAACTGCAGCCTGTCTGATGCCCAGAACCATTACTTGTCACACGGGTCTTCCCCGGTTGAGTCGTTGTTGGATCCAGTGTCGTCGCCTGAGCTCTCGATCAACGGTGGCGATTCGAAAGCTATGGTGTTCTTGAACCAGAACCAGACTCCTTTGGTTTTGGACTGCAATGGCAGTGTTCCCAGGGTGCCTGAACTTGATCAGGGGACATTGGTAATTGACAGTCTTGTAAAGGGGAAACCTTTGCCTGAGAAAGGCAAACTCCTGAATGCTGTGCTCGAGGCCGGGCCGCTTCTCCAGACACTCCTGCTAGCCGGTCCACTTCCCAGGTGGCGCAACCCGCCTCAGATCAAACACTTTCACATTCCACAGGTTTCCATCAGAGGCTGTGATGCAGATGCACAACAGCCTTATTTTGAGATGTCTTGTGGTTCTTCACAAATGTTGTCCACATCTATGTTGAACTTTGGCACTGTTCCTTCTGGAGGCTGTGTTGGAAACCAGATGTTGATATCTTCAGGTTCGAATATCGAGTGCTATGGCCATATGGGCAAACGACAACGGCTCCATTGACGATGAGCTTGAAAGAAATTTTTGTATATTTAAGGTGGGGGTGGTGTAAATGGGATAAACTCATATTGAGTTGAGTGATATAGCCTTTTCATTCTAGTTCAGCTTTCTTATTCTTAGCCAATCAGTCCAATAAATTTCACACTTAATTCTTGCCACAATGCAGCTGAGACTGAGAGCCCAGAAAACAGAAATTTTTTTTTTGTTCTCTCTGTCAAGTCCATTTTGTGTAAGTAAATTCACAACAGAATAATGAATTCCAAGAAATGTGAAATTCAGAAGATATATGGTTTCAATATTCCTGTGTTTGGTGTGGAGGGTCTTGTTTCTTTTCGTTCGGTTTGATGAATTGAGGAGTTTGTATATCAGATCCATACACATGGCCCATCTTTGTTCGTTTTGTTTCCAAATATCTCCGGTTTTCCTCTGTGTAGGGTGTTAAAACTGGAACTCTCCCAACAACTGCCAACCCGAAGCCCTTCAAACCAGTGAACTTGTCAGGATTGTTAGTCATGAGACACATCGTTCGTACTCCTAAGTCCCTCAGTATCTGTTGGAATTAGCGAAACGAAAGCTGTTCTCAAACCCGTTCTATCAAACCAAAAATGGGATAAGAAGTTATCCGCAGACTAACCTGAGCACCGATTCCATATTCCCGAGCATCTGCAGCAAAGCCAAGCTCTAAATTGGCCTCAACTGTGTCATGGCCCAAGTCTTGCAAGTTGTAGGCCTGGAGTTTGTGCCCCAGTCCGATCCCTCGACCCTCGTGGCCTCGCAGATAGACAACCACTCCCCTACCGGCTTCCTCGATCAACTGCATTGCCAAGTCCAACTGGTTTCCACAGTCGCATCTCCTGGACCCAAAAATGTCACCTGTCAAACACTCCGAGTGAACCCTTACTAGCACATCCTGACCATTTCCAATGTCTCCCTGAAGGGCAATGGTTAGAAACAACTTAGTATACCATAGACGTTCTTAGTTTACGAAGCCAGTAGTGTTGTTCATACCTTAACAATCGCTATATGTTCTGTGGTGTCTAGTTTTGAACGATAACAATGAGCCTGAAACAACCCCCATTTCGTTGGCAAACGCGAAATAGCAGTTCTCTCAACCAGCTTTTCTCTCTTTCTTCTGTACCTGTTAACGATTGTGCATAGTGAAGCAAACAAGAAGGCTGCTTGATCTATCTTTATCTGAACTAGAATGCATGAAATGTTTACCTAATCAGATCAGTTATTGAGATGATAGGTATGCCATAGTCAAAAGAAAGCTTTCTTAAACTGGGCATTTTGGCCATAGAACCATCATCTCCATCAATTATAGCTGAAAGAACAGATACTGGTTGTCTGCCAGCCAGCATAACCAGATCAACAGAAGCCTCGGTATGACCTGGTCTTCTTAGAACCCCGCCATTTCTATACTTGAGGGGAAACACATGGCCTGGCCTTCTGAAATCGTCCGCCCTGGAACTACTAGACGACAAAGCAAGCACAGTTTTCGCCCTATCTGCAGCAGATACACCTGTCGTTGTCCCTATTTTCGCATCCTGATCACAACATTAAAGCTAATATATATAGCTTCTGATCAAAGACAGACAAATAACGGTTTCCTAATCAAAACGAAACAAAGTTGAGTGATTTGTATGTACCACTGTGATCGCGAAGGAGGGAGCAGAAGCATCACCTTCATTCTCGGGAGACATGAGAGGGAGCTTTAGCCTTTCAAGATCCTCCCCTTTCATTCCCACAGAGACAATCCCTGATCCGTTTTTAATCATGAAGGCGATCGCCTGTGGACTGACATGGGAAGCAGCCATCACAAGATTCCCTTCAACATCATCGTTTTCGTCATTCACAACAATCACACTCTGACACATTTTCACTGTCATAAGCCTTATAATCAATCAAGATTTTCATCAACCTAAACACTCATCCATGATTCACCCACGCTACTGCTATAACAGTAGTACAGATTACACAATCAAACACTCTGAACTTCAGATATATAAGCTAAACAAAACTTACTTATGATGATTCAGATTACAATTACAAGCTAAGGGATGTTCAATTCAACAACAACACATGGAAATAATACAATGATTGTCTAACACTCAATTTGTCGAACAAGTAAGCTGCAATGGACTAACCTTTCCTTGACGCAAAGAAGTAAGCGCTTCTCCAACTGAAGAGAATCCCTCAGAAGGGCAGTCAGGGTCGCCCTCAGCATCACTAACAAAGAAATCAGTGGTCTCAGGCGTAATCTCTGCGCTGAGAGTCTCAAATACAGGAAGAGATCCATTTTCACTGCTTTCAAGCGGCATTTGATCATCGAAGGAGTTTCCAGCAGCCCAGCATGCGGACCTGGAAGCTCTACACTTCTTGTTCTGCGCATTTTGGAAAGTTACCAGGGACTGCAAGCAGGATCTTGAAGTGAAGAAGATGCTGCGTGGGAGTAATGGATGCTTGAATCCTATTACACAGTCCATCAAGATTGCAACTTTATTCATTCTTCACTGGAAAGACAGCAACTTTAAACATTCCTGCTATCTTGCTTTGATCTTTTTGGCGCAGTTTTGTTGCATGTGGCTTGCCATATACGGTGCAGAAAAAGGACAACCTCTAGTTTTTGCTCCATTTTCTTATCCATCCGAATTGGATTATGGAACCATCCACTTGCAATCATGAAATATTTGGGCATATAAAATTCTTTTTAATTAGGTAACTATTTGATTTTAGTAAAAATATAATCTATCTGTGAATAAAACGTTACACTAGACAAGATTTATCTTACTCGAGAAATGTCTAATATTATTTTTGATGAATATACTAGACCCAGACCAATGAGTGAGGGAAGACCAGCAGACCTGGGAGACAAAAAGCAGACCCGACCTAAGACAAGGCAACCCGACAACTAGTCTTAGGGCCAGCCTACATTCAGTCGACCAGGATCAAGGAGGACGAGTCAGCGAAACACGATCAATCGGCAAGGAGGTTGGATTGGTGAAACGCGCTCAGTTAGGGTGATTGTAAATACCCGTTTCGCATGGGGGCACTCGGATTGCATGGGTAGTTGTCCAAACACATTTTGTATAAATAATAGTGCATTTATGTTGGTTAGACATGTCTCATTTCTACATAACTATGATAATCTTCAAGTTGTTCAAAAATAAAAATTGTAATCTTTGAGCATTCATTACAAATATCATTCTTGCTCTTTATGGACATTATTCTTGAATTAGTTAATTATCACCTACTTGAGTTAATTTTCTTCATCAACCTTTGTTCTCATGCCCCTAATGTATACAATGTTAGTCTCAATAGCCTCTAGTGTCATTCTGTGTCCTATATACAAATTTCTTCACTAAATTTGGATTTTAACAAATCAGTGTCATGTTTAAAGATAAACATTAAATATCATATAACTACATAAGTACTACAGTACATTTTTTAAAATTCGAAATTCAAAATTATGTTTCATTGACTATAAAAGAAGTTAATCTTCAATTTTATGTGATTAATCACATGAACAAAAGTATAATTTTAAATTTTTTTTAATGCGATAGATATATCATTTTCTATTTAACGCGATTTAAGTTTTATGTTTCATCCGCTAAGCAACTCATTTTCTCTCAATCAAGTTAACCCAATGGGTATATCATTGAAGACTTCAAGTACATGGATGGTGCTTTTGAATTGACTGGAGGTATTTGAATTGGGTGACTTGATTTGGACTACTCGAACTAGGCGCAAATCACCTATGTAGCACGAAACTCTCAAGGGTAACCATTTCTATATTAACATTTTATTCTAAAAAGTTTACTAATTAAAACTCCATAAAATATTTCAAATTAGTTTTCTAATTAATAAAAAAATACATTTTTTTTAGAAATAATAAGCTAGTAAACAATTAATATTCATGCATATTTAAATAAAAATATTTACAAATGCACACATGTTTTTATATTTGCACATTTCCTTCGTATTTTGTATCTTGTGTTTCTCTATATTTTGTTCCGTGCTACTTAATCTAAAAATGTTATAAAAGTTCATCCAAGTTAATTAATACCCCTGAATTGTATATGTGTTTATGTGTTTGTGGAGTTGTAAATTGTGTTACAGATTGTTGGTCCCGGTAGGGTCGAAAGAGAGTCTAGAGAGAGAGGGGGGGCGGGGGGGGGGGGGGGATGGGGAATAGACTCTAATCGATTTTTCAAAGCAATTCCTTTCGGAGCGATGCACAGCGGAAATAATGTTTTAGTTTAGATAGACTTTGCACACTTTCATTAAAAAGGCTTAGCGTTTGGTCGATATGATATGCAATGCACGAAAGTAATATAGCGAAAAGTAAAAAGATATGGAGAGAGAGATTTTGTAGTGGTTCGGCTGTTAACCAAGCCTACTCCACTTTTCTTTCACAACTCGTGAAAGGGTTTGCACTATCACTCCTAGTACAAACTACTTCAAGCTGGCTTCCTTGATCACTAAGCAGGACAGCCACTTGAAAGGTTTTTCAACTCCACGAGTTTACTCCGCCTCTATCAACTTCTTCCTAAGTTGAGATGTTGGAAAGATAATCTGATGTTTCTCCAACAGGTTGAAGCCTTGTCTTGACGTCTAGATGAGTCTTCACTTGAGAAATCACAAGACTGCTTCAAGTTGTGAAGTATGGAAATGAATATGCCTTTGAAACACTTCACAAGATCACTGGTTATGAAAAGCTTTTAAGGGATTGAACTGTTTGAAGAGCTTTTCTTTGGTTTTGCAAGAGTGAAAATTAACCATCACCTTCTTCAATGGTGAAGAGAGGTATTTATAGGTGGAAAAATCCATCTGTTGGAGGGAGATAAAAATTTCAAACCTAATAACCAATGAGTATTAACCAGTGGGCATAGAGCATTTAATGCACTTGTACTGTGTAGCCGTTGGAGCCAAAAGTATTATGACTTTTGCCCTTGATCTCTGACAAGATGGTACAAGTCTTTTAATGCTCCTTGTCTTTTGTGAAGATCATTCCTAGGACACTTTTTTTTGAATGATTTGCCCATCTGAGTCATAGACAACATTCTCATTGCTTTACTTAATGGATGTTGTCTCTTACAAGTCTGTCTTTGACTTGTTAGTCGAAAGGTTTACTTTATCTTTCGTCATTTCTCCTT